CTTGACTTGCTACTCATTTCTTTTGGTTATGGCAGCAGTAACACTTTCAGAAACTCTTTTGAAATTACCATTTGAAAGTTTTAAACAAAATGCTGTAGGCATATATAAGTAACAGCAAGATACTCCTCCAGGTTGGGCATCATCTAGCACCATCCATTCTCAAATGTCATCCTTATAGAAAAGCTACTGTTGGCTGACCAGCTCTCACAATCAACAGCTCAGCTTCCATTTTCTGAGAGCTTTCCATAGGCAATTAACATGTCATTTTAAGGAAGGCAACCAGGATTGTGTTAAATACTTTAAGCTTCAAAAAAAGTGTTAAATGTAAGATTATTTTCAAGTGGATAAGGTTACATGGACATAGCTGACACTTTTAAGAGTAGTTTGTAGTGTGGCAATCCTTTGCTTTGAACAAAATGTTCAAGAAACTCTACTTTTTCTAATTGTAATGAGATTTTTTGACTGGTGTTTTGAATACCATGTTGTATCGCTTCAGTCCTTTACCATGACATCTGCATTTTCAGGCATGTGGTTTGGCATCTCATGTTTCATCCAGCACAAGACTTGTTTGGGTGAAACTTTTATACAGTAACAGGGCAGCAATTTTCATTTTTGTGACTATCATCAGCTAAAGGATTTGGTATTTTCTACATTGCTCAAGTAACTCATATGTGTCAAGAAACAGAACGATTTTGCAATTCTAGCCTACCCTGATGCCTCTCTATATTCCTTACAGATGCTCTTTTATCACATTTTATACATTTTAGAAGAAAAGTGTCTGACATTTTATGAATAGCCCTAGCAGCAATGTAAAGCACAAGCCTAAACCAGAAAGTTTTAGATCCTCAATTTTCTTTTCTGTAAGGCCCCTTTTCTCTTGCTTAGGCATCCACATTTTTTCCAATGTTTTTGAAATGTTGTATGTATTTATGGTAGAATTTTCAAAGCCACCAAGAGGATTTGGATGCCAGGCTGCAGCTCTTCTTAATGAGATCTGAACATCCAAATCCATACACAGACTGAATATGCATTAGCTTTGTATATGTGCTAGCGAACAGCTAGCAGAGCTAGCAGATACGCAACACCCAAAAGAATACTCAATTTGTTTCTGCAACACCTTAGTTATTCCAACCAGATCATCTACAGAGAACTAATCCACATACTGCTATAGTGAGTTGGTTCTCTTGTGTCAGCTACTAAGAGCAAGCAGCAGCAGAGCCATTTCACTTGCAAAGCAAGCCAAATTCTAAATATAAACCTCCCCCCACAACATATTCAATTACAAATGCACAACTGCCTCCTATTCCAATTAGTGTTTTTACAGGATTTTAGGGAACACCACCCTCTGTTCTCAGCCAACCAGTGCCAGTTCCCTCCCTGCAAGGATTCCCCTGTGTCCTTCACCCCCAGGGAGCCAGTTTTCAAGAAGCGATGTAGCCAGCCTGCACTGGGAGGAGACCTAATCCCAATGGCCCTGCACACCTATGACGGCCAACTGGATTGCCAATTGGCCTTTGACTCCATGAGCCAGAGAAGTATAAAGACATACAGGCAGAATTGTCAGTCTGGTGCTAGCTGATGTTCTAGTGACACTTTTTTATCAGGGCAGCATTTTTTGGCTTATAGGTCTCCCAAAGAGAGGAGTTAAACATAGTTCTTCAGGAAGCTATGTGCCAGTTAAAGAAAACAAGTGACATACAGTACAGAGAATTGATGGCAACCAAATATAAATGATAATAGGAATTGGCAATGCAATAAACTTAACAACAAGGGCTTGTTTTTATTGGAACTATTTTTATCTAGGACTGCTTTAGGAACAATTCCTGTCTTCAGATGAAGACCAAATACAAACTAAATACGGACTTGTGTAGGTAACTAGTGTTTCTACCATCATTTTAGAAAATAGTTATATATTTTTATAATCTGTAAATGATGGATTCCCTAAAAATATTAAGGCTTTTCCTCTTTGCACAGGAATCTGCTTGAACATCAATTTAATGATTACTATTGGTAGATGGAATTTTGATATCCATTTGGTAGTGATTTGCACCAGTGTTTTCAAGGCTGCCAACGAGCAAATCCAGAAGGCAGGCAGCCAAAATTCCAGAAGAGACAACTGTCTCTTATTTTATAGCTTATGCATTTTGAGCTTAATATGATTTTCCACTAACAAGTTCTGTACCTTCTCCAAAGTGGTAAAACTGGTGTGCAGAACTGCAAAGTAACACAGCATCTTTGAGGCAAGCTAATATTAAACTCATGGTAAATTATAGAAGTTATACTGCTTACATTGGGAGAAAACCAGTAAGGTTAGAAGAACTACACGATTTACTGCAGACACTTGTTTCAATGGTTGCATTTTTAAGCTTGACTATATAGCAAACAACAATATGTCATCTAAGTGTTGTTTCCCATTTGATACAGAATGAGCAAATATAAAAAAGACAAGCAAAAGATTGCTGTAACACTCAAGAGGAATACAAAGTATGCATTAGTTATCTCATGCACTTGATAAATAGGATGCAAGTCATATTTCATTCTTTCAAAGGCACTGAAAACAAGCTGCATTTGAAGGAGCAAAAAAGGCACAAACGGAAACAGGGTTTGCTCACTTTTCAGGCAGAAGTATAGGAAGAGGGCAATACATTAGCATGGTGAGGTTCAGATCTATTCTTCCACTGATCACCTATTGCAAAGATTACCCCTATCAGGATACTATGTGCTCATGGCTCCTCAGGGCAACAGCTGCCACTTGACCACAACCACCTGAAATTAATATCAGATTACCTAGGATGTTAACTATACAGAAAAGGTAGTTCTGTGTGCCAGGTGTGCCTCCTGAATCTATAACAGAATGGAACATCACAGAGAACACCTTTCATTCTATTAGAAATCACTTTACAAATCAAGACATCCAAGTCAATAAAATCAAGCAGGCTGCAGATAGCATAATGTTCACAGGTGGAAAATAACTCCTGTTGATAACTTTTAGCCTTTTATAATAGAAAAAATATGTAAAAGTAAATTTTAAAACAATATTATTCAAGCTATGAAATTATACATGTTGATGCTATAGCATCACATTATAGTTGCTTTTTAGGTACACAAATTTCTCACTGAAATTCCATTCATAAATTGATGTTGGCCATTCAGTTGCAAGAATACCCACAGCACCATGAAGCCAGAGCAAGTTACTTTGAAAGGTCGTGAATTAATCTTGCAATTTTGATAACTGTGTATGCAGTCTCTATCAATATAAAATACAAAACCAAACTCTGCCTTTTTCAGATATATGACCAAAGAAGTTTATCACACAACCCTGACGTAGCCAGTCTAATGGCCCAATTCATTCTGAGATAATGGCCTTAAACTGACATTCCATGTTCAGATAAGAACTGGGAATGACTCCTCTCCTTTGCTTTCCTCTTCCTGGCACAGGTTTTTGTCCGACTATAAAACTTATCTTCCTGTCTCCTTTTCAGTAACATTTGTCTATCCCAGTGAATTCCTAAGCTACATCTCGTTTCGTGCTCCATGGCACTACAAAGAACAAATGCCAGCTCTAAAAGCAGCACTCTTGCATAGCAGCATGGATGCCTGTTGCAGGTCAGTACAGTGCAGGTGCAGCCTTAGAAACAGGATCTTATTCAAAGACAGGTTATGAGCCCACAGGTTGCAACCAGTAAGGATCTTGACATGCATGATCAAGGAAATGACAAAAGCCACTACACATTACGTGATGCTGACCCCACAAGATCACTTGGTCTAATGGCACTGTATGCTTTTCCTCCACCTGCTACGAGCTGTACAATAAACACGTCTGTACACATCCAGCTCATAACAGATTGCCAGGCACCAATTAGACCCTTTGCTATACACCAGTTTTAATACACGTGATGCAAAAGAACCAGAGACTTTTAAATATACACTGAAGAGAACACAGAGTTACTCTAGATGTATTTTCTTTGTATTTTATTGATCCGACATAATATACAAGCATACACAGCAATATAGGCATGTGTATGCGTCTGGATATATATACATACACAAAATATGATACATACAACCAACACGGCCAGATTATCTGGTCTTGCAAGAGATATGTCCAGCACAGGACGAAAGACCAGGATGGAGGCATATAAGCCCTTTAGAACTGTAACACTGTCCATGCCTACAGCTGCCCGGAGACCAGGTCAGCTTCTGTAACAGGACAGAAAGGCAATGGGTATCACTTTCAGTAATAGAGAAGATGGTTGCTTTCATCTTACCACCGGTTATTCTGTTTTCCAAGGGACTCTATGAGTTATCCGTTACCATTCAGACAATCATGACTCACTGGCTTTATAGTGGGAGATAAAGGAAATGTGCACAGAAACTGCTAAGTGGGATCCCACAGCACAAACACAGTTAATGAAGCCCATCAGGGAGCCATTGCAGGTGATAAAACTGCATCAGACCCAACAGGTTGTTGGGAACCAGGGGCTGAGGTGCAGGAATCCTGGAAGACAAACACTCCAGAAAAAGCTAGATAGGAATCCTTCCTTTATTCTTTGCCCACCCCCAATCCCACCGTACTTACACATCCCTCTAGTAGCCTCTTCTAATACAACCACAGAAGCAGTCAGAACCCACCAGCATGCCAATAAAGTTTTTCCACAGTAAAGAATTACTACCATTAATTTGGTATTGACATATTTTATTAGAAAAACAGCAAAATTGGCCAAGTTGGTTATCAGGCACCTGGCTGTGTGATTTACATAGGAAACCACAGTTATTGCAAGCTGAAAGAAGAGAAGCCTCATGGCCTCACAGTGTATTCTGGGAAGAACAAAATGGATACTTAGCAAGTTTGTGGCCGTTTTATATTTTAACATTTTCAGCTCACAAAAACAGAAAGAATACTGGTGCTACAGCTCTGACAGGCACATTTTGCTTATTAAACAATAACAAAATACATTTTAAGCCATATTTTTTTCCATAAGCTACTGTCAGTTAATAACCTAGACCTGAATTTCATCATCTGTTGCGAGTTCATGGCTTGGATCAATAAGACACCTTCCTATTGTTCTCCCATCAGTCATTACTGGAGAAGCAGTAGGCGTCTGCGTGGTAAGTAAAGAGAGAGAAGGAGAAAAACTGGGGGTCATGGTTGGTGGCAGGTATCCAGGATCATGGATAAGGGGAGAATGAGGGTATTTTTTAAATGCTTGCCCTGATATTATATTTGGCATTCGTGGTGGCACTGTCCTTATGCCAGGTTGAGCTACTGATGTTATCAAGGGAGGAGGGAAAACAAGAGATCTCTTCTCCCTAGGGAAGCTGCAAACATGTACATTTTCATCTTTCAGTTTTGCAATATCATTAAACACTGAGGCAAGGGGCTGAAATCCGGGTTCCCAGCTGAGCACACAGTCCCAGTTATAACCACCTCTGAGATCCTCACCAGAGGTGCCAAGAGTTGCAAGCGAGTCATACCCAGAGTCCTGCCCATCTGACATCAAATCATATTCTCTTGTGAGGTCTGTCATTATGTCTGTTTCTTTTATTCTGATTTTCTTAAGTGTTTGAGACAACATTTTGTTACGCGCACAGGCTGTCTCACAGGCTTCTTCTCTGCCTTCTCCTTTAATGTTTTGCATGGTGGCCATGACATCCATTTCTCCAGACTGACAGGAGAGCTGATCAGACTCTCTTGGGATCCCTGAATCTGGCACCCGTGAGCCACACTCATTCAGCACTGAGCTGGCACTCATTCTGCAAGGATGCTCATTGATCCTTTTGATTTCCTCGTCCTCTGCAGTTTCTCCTTCAGCAGAACTGTGGCCACTGGAGTCTGAATGCCTGCAGGGGACACCATCATCCTTCCCCTCTGCGACTCCTGCCAAGCTCAGCCATTCTGCTATAGCCCCCATGGGAAGCATGCTGCTCTCAGTACTCTGGATTTTCTGGCAGTCCTTATCTTCGCCGGCTGAATTCACATCAGCAGCTAAGGAGGATACTGCTTCTTTTTTCACGCCAGAGTTCATCAGATCTTTCCGCTTACGCCTCAGAATAAGTACAATAAGGATAACTGCAAGCAGTAGGAACACTATAAAGGAGACTGAAACGTTAATGGTCAGGCTGTACGCCTGGAGCATAGGAGAACTCTCAGGAGAATTGGAAACATTCACCAGAACGGTGCATACTCTGAACTTTGACTCAATTTTGGGGCTATGAGCTCTTACCAGCAGTTCCAGGGTGTCATCATTCCTTTTGCTGCCATTTTTTTTTCTGTGAACAGTCTGAGTCAAATGAATACTACCAGTGGTCGGATTCACAGAAAAGAATGGAGAAGTTTTTAGCAGGGAGTAATGAACAACTCCATCCAGTCCACCATCGCTGTCTGATGCTGTAACTCTGCCAAGTAACTGGCCTGCTTCATTCTTCTCAGGGAGATTAAAGAAATACCGATCTTGTGTAAATACTGGGTCAAATTCATCCTTCCCCTCAATATCCACCTGAACTGTAACAGTGGCCAGTGAGTCACCTTTGTCTTTTGCTTGGATTATGAGACAATACCTACTCTGACTTTCATAGTCAAACATTTGCTTTGTATGAATATCTCCTGTCAAAGGATCAATGAAAAACATGTCATGGTCTCTAGGAGCTTCACGATGAGCCAAACACGAAGACTGGATGGAGTAAGTAAGATGGCCATAGGAGCCTTTATCAAAATCCAGTGCATTAACAGCACACACAAAAGAAAACGTAGGCAGATTTTCACTGACAGTGCAGCTCAGGCTGGGAAACAAAAACAGCGGGGCATAATCATTGTCATCTAGGACACTAACATGAACAACAGAAAAAGCCACATTTTTTACATCCACTCCTCCATCTGTGGCTTGGATGATCAAAGTGAATTTCATGGTATCCTCATAATCCAGAGTTTTCATCAAATCCACTGATCCTGTTTCCCCATCCAGGCGAAAATGTCCCCCGTCATTTCCACAGATGATAGTGTAAGTGATCTCTGCGTTACTGCCTGCATCGCAGTCATTCGCTACAACTTCAGTGATGTGACTTCCTATGGGGGTGCTTTCTTTGACATGAATATGGTAGTCCGGGCTGCTAAATACTGGAGGATTATCATTAACATCCCGTATGGTTATGAGCACAGTAGCAGTGGAATTCAAGGAAGGTGTTCCACGATCAGAGGCAAGGAGGACCAAACGGTGAGAAGCAGCTGTTTCCCTGTCGAGAACATTGCTCACAACAAGACTGCCAACAAGCTTGTAGGATGTTTCTGACTCCATAATACTTGTTTCCACAGAGAATAAATTCTCAGCATTGCCATCAATAATAGAGTATTCAACATACGTGTTTTCACGCGTCCAGTCATAGTCGATGGTTGAAAACGTGAGGACAGTCTCTCCAGCTGAGGCATCCTCACTCACACTGAGATTGTACAGCACCCTGGGAAACTGAGGAGCGTAGTTATTTACGTCTTCTATTTGCACCTCTACAGAGGTAACTGTGCTCAGAGCGGGACTGCCACCATCTGTTGCTTCTATCAGGAGCTGGATGACTGGAATCTTTTCCAGCTGTGTCACTGGTCCTGCAATGAACACTGAACCTGAAAATGAAACAGAATTAATAAAAACTAAGGCAAGTAAATGTGATTCCAAAAGCTTAATATAATCAGCCATGTTTGAAAATGACTCAAATGTAACGGCTGCACACCCCACAATAACTCTAAGAAGTCACAGCTAATGCTGCAAGGTCTACCCACAATGATGCAGCATCAAATACACATGCAGCATTTAGACTAGCAAAAATTTCTCTTCCCTTGTAACAGGCTGAACACACCAACTGCAAAAAAAAAAAAAAAAGGCAAAATAAAGCTAAGGAAATATAGGCTCCTTATTAGAGGTGGCTACGCTGTGCAAGTTCATTCCTGAAGGTCGTTAGTTCTGTTTTTCTTGCAACCCAGTAACAGCATTATAGGCATGTTTGTTATTTAGATAGGTTTGCCAGTAAGTTATATAAACATGTTTCATTAAAAACGCTTATCTAAATGTGGAGATTGGATAGAAGATCTTTAAAGGTCCCTTCCAACCCAAACCATTCTGACTCCATGTTCATATGCTATCTACTTCTATTTCACTCTTCACGGTGTACAGCTAAGCACCACAGAGACAACACTGTGTGACAGTTTTCGGATCACAGTTAAAAACAACCATTAGCCAAAGATGAAGATAGGTTGGTGAATACAGATTAATGAATGGGTAAAACAGAAAACAGCTTTAACTGGGTGAGACATTCGTATTTGCAGTGTTTAGTTCCCATCAGCCAACAAACACTGCATTCAAAAACTCACCTCATGTCAACACCTGGGTACAGTAAATAAGTCATAAGAACTTGTTCACTGAACAATAGTTACGTATCATTTTTGCAGTATCTAGTAATCTCTGAAGCTGGTGTTATAGAAAATGATATGTATACATACAGACAGAGACACACACAGTTTTCTACCTCACAGAATGTTACAACATTAGGCTAGAAAATTTAAAATTGTAGATCTCTTAACTATTGAAGAGAATTATGTACTTTGGAGATAATGTACTGAATTTGGAATACTTTTAAATTCCATTTAGGATTATAGGATAACATAAGCTCTCTAAAGAAACAATCTTAAAAACATATTGCCCAAGCTGCAGAGAAGCTCCATTATGATAGGTTCAACTTATACTGAAAAATAGTAAGTATGAACTTGAACGAAACCTATTACATGAGGTGAAATGTTATAAAGCAGTGCAAAACATGCAACAACTTTCTATTAAATCACGTCAGAAGAACAGCACCCACAGGATGTCATGACCAGCTGCCTTGTGCATGGTTCAGGGACAAACTGAGAACTCCGGTCTTTGATGCTATCGGTTCTTCAGCAGTAATGTCAGATTTAGCCAAAACAGATGGTGGACTTTAGTCACCAAAGATTTCCAGAACTCAAGTGATCACTGGCAGCAGGTGAGGAAGTGCAATATGACTCTTCAATTTACACTGCAAAAGCTGAAATAATAAACCATGCTTACAGACTCACCATTCTTCTGATCAATGGCAAATCCCTCAGAGGGAGAGAGGATTCTGTATGAAATCATTCCATTATGCTCTGAATCCCTATCCACAGCAGAGACTGTCAGAACAGTGGCATCCATAGAAATGAGCTCTGGCAAGCTCACCTGACATATAAAGCAAAATTACAGTTTTGATAGAGCTTAATAAAAGATTTTTAACATTAAAAATGTTTTACTTCATTTGATCTTACTAGAAAAAAACAAAACAAAACAAAACAAAACTGTTCCAAACTTTGGAAAAAGTTTCACCCATCTGTTTTCTTCTGGGACAAAACTATAAAGAATTGAGATGCTGAAAATGATGCATACAACACAGACAAAATTTATAGTAAAATCCAAACAGTAGTAAAATCCAAACAGTTCTAGTTCATCATGACAATGAGTTCAGTGAACCACTGAATCTCTTTTTTCAATAGTACACTAATGGAAGGAATGCCTACAATAGACTGCAACTAAAACCGGCTTTTCTCCCTGCATTCAGAAACACCTTGATTTTCGTACATGGAATACCATCTGCAATCCTTGTCTGGAGTATATGATTGCCCGTTAAAAAACCCAGCATATATACCCTGAAAATTCCAGCACCAGAGCACTTAATCATCACTGGATTGTTCCTAGAATTTAGTTTTTCAAAATGCTTCCTTTTTTCTCCATATAATCTAGGAAATCAACAAAGTCCTTTCCCTTCTTAAGAGCTTCCATTATATGAAGTCCAGATAAGGTATTTTTGTGACCAAATATTCCTTCCACCTTATAAATCCAGTTTCAAATTAACAGTATGATACCGCATCTACCTTTGTCATAACTTCAAGTGTTAGTTTAAATCATTTTAACAGAGGGCTTGTATGTATATAATAGCCATATATATGTATATATGAAACTATACGTGAAAAGTATAAATATGAAAACACTTGAAAGGACAATAAAGGATAAAATTACAGGATGATGAATAGGGAATTATACATATCGTCAACCAAAAAAAAAGCAGTGTATCTTACTGTCCAAGTGACACATCAAAACTTCAGAATTGTGGAGAGAGAAGCTCAACTGTTTATATTATCATAGTCAATAGGCTGATTTGCATCAGTTAATAACCCTGCCTGTAATGTTGGCTCCGATCTACAAAAAAATTCCTAGCACTTGCACAAGCAACTACTTGCCTAAACTATTCTCCAAAATCAGACGCATATGAGGGTTGAAGAAAACTTAAGGCAAGGTTTAAAAATTACCTGAAAAATTACCTGACCATTAATAATGCTTTTTTTTTTTCAGATTTAGACTTATGAGTTTTAAGTGAGCAATTTACACAAATCCTGACAACTCAGGCACCTGAAAGCTTCACAAGTGCCTACAGTCTGCTCCGTAGTTACCTAAGTGACTGAACTGCTGTGTCTGCACGTGCTCAGAGGTTGAAATTCTTTACTAAGCCAAATGTTTACACTTATTTCTTGAATAAATCTGTCTGAGATTTATAAATGAAGCATTATTAAATCCAAGTCTTCTGTGGTGCCTCATATTTCTGGTTCTGAGCACATCCACCACACACAAAAAAGCACCAAGTCAAGCAAACAGCTCAGTTCACAGGACTGCAGAATGGCTGAAGTTGGTGGGCACCTCCAGAGGTCACCTTGTCCACCTCTTGTTCAGAGCAAGCTCACCTAGAGCAGAGTGCCCATGACTCTGTATAGTTCAGTTTTAAATATCTCCAGGGACGGAGACTTTGCAACTTCTCTGGGCAACTTGTGTCAGTACTAAATCACTGTTAGAGTTTTTAAGGAATGGAAACAACTCCTCTGTCAGCCTCAACTTGCCCGGGTAGCCTTATTGCAGCCTAACTTCAGCTAGAGCTCCAGGCTTTATTTCTCTCCCAGCCCTAACCCTAACTCCAAGCCATTACATGTGCCGAGCCTTAGGGCTGATGAAGTCAGGACAAAACCCTTTCAGCAGCCTACCCTTGAGAGCCTTGTATGATAGACGCTCCAATTTTTTAATTGTCGTAGTGGCCCATGGTTGTCCATAGTCGCTAAAATAGCTTTGTTTCAAAACACTGGTGGACAACTTGACTTCTACAATAGTCCAGCAGTTCAAATGCTTGTTCAGAAGTCCAAAAGCTGAGCTCTGTACCCTTCTCAGCCTAGCAGGGGATGCCAGGGAGGTCAAAACTCCTCTCCCTAACTCCCTAGATGAGTGCCATTGCTATAAGGCAGGATAACACGTTACAAACTATATGTGCAAAATCTGTCCCAGGGGCATTTGCTACACCTCTGTGGAGCTGTGTAACTGAAAATGAAGAAATTCATGGCGCAGTAATGGGGCCAGAATAAACGCACCAACTTGTCTACCACTCTCTCTGAATAATGAAGTTCTGAACACTGCATCCTGCTCCCCAAACTGGTTTGGATTACATCTAGTAACCCTCAGTGATGAATATAGGATGTAAAGAGTACAGATAGCATTCATACCACTTTCCTTCTGAAGTCAGAAACCACGACCATGAAAACTGAATAATTCTGTCAGTCCTTTGAGCAGAATTGAGCTCTGCTCTATTTCTGCTCAGTAATAGTTTGCAGAGCCCTTCCTTCTCAGTGCTCAAATGCATTTTTAAGATAAATATAAACAAACACTTGTACTATTTATCATCATACATGGAAAGACATCACATCTTTGTTGTCCATTTGCCACGTTCCCACCTGATACGAATCCTGAGTAAACACTGGTGGGTTATCATTGATGTCCGAAACAAGGATGGTGAGGTCTGCTTCTGTTTGATGTACAGAATCTGAAACTATGATTCTCAGCTTATACACAGCAGTTTCTTCAAAATCTAATGGTTCCACCACTGTGACTACACCAGTGTGTTGATCGATGGCAAATTTAATTCCAGGACTATTGTCATAAATAAAACCAAACTGAAGTGCTGGCCTGGAGTCTGCATCACTTGCTGACACCCGAGTCACTATAAAACCAGGCAGAACATCTGAAACAACAATTTTCAGAATAAGTCTTAGCTAAAAGATGATGATACAATTTCTGAAGATTTTGCAGATTTTTGTGATATTGAATCTTAGATATATGCAATCTTTCTGTGTCAGCTTTTGGTGTATTTTGACTTTGTGTTTTACAATAAGAGCATTATCCAGAAATGCTATGGAAGCAGTAGTGGATTTCTTCAAATGCATCTGCTTTATCCCAATTTTAATTCGGGTTTTGTTGATCATCAACTGGATCAAGCTATAGAGGATTTTAAAGCTCCATTCAAATTCAAAGAAATTATTTCTTTCATCACAATAAAGTTTAAAGTGTCTCATTTCTAGCAATGCTGGTTTTAACACCAAGTATTTTTATTGAAGAAAAGCAGAAATTGAAGACATCTGCAGAATATGACACTGCAGTCCAAAATGAACAGATTACAGATGTATTTCTGTAGAATTTGTTTTCCTCATTCTGAATTGCCCATGATTTTGCTCCAAACTATTCTTAAACACCATGTCTAAAGATTAAGAATAATGCCTCTAGGAACAAAAGGAGATTACAATTTATTCTGATATTCCAGTATTAATACGACCCATTATTCTTTTTACTAGAATTGTTTGGTTACACAAATCACCAAAAGCACTATTGTTGTTTGATAAATCCCAGTCTTAATAAAAGTTAGCTGTACTATCACACTTACTTTCTGGGACCTCCACTTCACCTAGTGATTGGACAACGGGAGCGTTGTCATTAACATCTAATACTTGTATAATCACAATACTTGTAGCAGAAAGTCTGGGGTTTCCTTTATCAGCAGCTTGTACAACCAACCTACAATTAAAGAAAGTAGTAATTGTTATTATTGTTCAGAAATCACAGAATTATTAACCAATGTTAGAAGCAGGGGAAAAGTTACAAACAAGAAGATTAGCCCTTTCTGCTCCTCATTGCAACTCTTAAATTCCATCTTTCTTTCTGTAAGGCTGGCTGATTGGAATTTTTATTTTTTGTGTCTCGCAGAAAAGACTTACAGGAGATCCTAGGTGGCAAAAACATAACAAAATAATACAAAGAAAATGAAGTATTCATCTGTACTCATTTCACCCAAATTCATACCAAATGCAGATGGTTAAACAAGCTAGCAAGACCCTCTCAAATAAGACATTTCTCCAGTTGGTAATTCAGAGCAGGAATTAACGTAAGTACTGAATTGTCCTTTGGAGGAACCTGACTCTCCTCACAGTTTATAAAGGCACAACAAGAATGGGAAAATCTGTAATAAGAGAACATCCACAATATTCAGCCAAAATGTCTGCAGAGATATAGAATAGCCCCGCTATTATATTGCAAATGTAAGTGATAAAGTGAAAAACCTGAATACGTGCACCATTTGTCAAAGTTCCTACTGCTTTTTAGTGGGTCCAGAATCTCTGTCAGCTTAAGAGAGTTTGCCTGTACACTTCAATTTTACACCTGCATAAGGATGGGGAGTAGATTTTGTTAACAACTTTTTCATTTCCACAATGTCGCAAAGAAAATGACAAGCAATGACCTGATAAACATGGATAAAAGGCAGTTTACTCTCTGTCGGAACTAGCTGCTGAACAACAAAGAGCAAATGCTTATTGTAAGCAAAGATTATTTGGAAGATTAATTCCCTCTCCAGGATTAAAAATTATCCAGAAGGGAATACAAAATTAAATCTAACTCAACAGGTGCTCTAAAAAAAAAGAAACAGACAAAAAAAAACCCCACAAACATCAAGCTATGCAAAAGAATATACAAGTCAGAGCCTGGCATCTCAATTAAATGTTTTGTGCTTGCATGTCACATCGTATTTTCTGTGTCTCCCTGCAGATGTTCCAAATGCTTTATTTCTCCCTCTTTCTTCTAAGTCACAGTTTCTGTTTAAAATGTCAAATAGACATTAGTTCCTAAATGTTGACACGACAACATGAAATACCACTGTAACTGAAGGTGTGGATTGCAGCGCTTCCATTCCTGAACCACACCAGCTCTGCTGTGGGTGCCCTTGTGGTTTCTGATGCCGACAGAACACATAACTTGAATTGCAGGCATATAGAAAAATATAGAAAATGTATTTTTCCAAGAACGAATATTGGTAAGGTATACATACAGAAATATTTTACTAAAAATAATCACTTTCTAAGGTTTCAGGAAAAAACTCTCATAAAAACATCTCAACCAAGGCATTAAAATTAAGGTTCTGTCAACACTTTCATTATAACTCCTATTATAAGGGACTCAGAACTTCTGGGGATGAAAATGTTCAATTTAGATAAAATAAACAACTCCTCACAAATTTGAAAGTACCAATGGTAACATTTTGAAATTAAACAGGAAAACAGTTTTGAAAGCTTCTTTTGCTGTTTATTTTTCACCTACCACTGTACAGATTAATAACGTATTAATAAAGATTAGGAACACCAAGCTTCAGATTCCTCAGTCAATTTAAAATGCTAAAATTCCAACATACATACTGAAATAAATCAAGCTCCCAGTGAAAGACAGATATGAGAATTATTATGCTTACATGTTCAATGCTTCATCAACAGTAACCATCCTTCCACTACAGGATTTACTCAAGGCATTCTGTTAAACTACGAGGTACAAATAAAATGTATTATGCTATTTAAATGAATAAAAATCAGAACTGATGTTTCTAATTCAGTGAAAAACTGAAAAATAAACTACAAATGAAGTGTTCTGTATATTAAGTTAAAGTATTTCCTTTAGGACACTATTATCAAGTTACACTGATATTTAAAAAAAAAAAATCATATTCCGTTGATCATTTTCGTGTGGTTTTCTAAAAGTTACTCTGATTCATAAGAATTCTGATTGGATGTTTAAACCTTCAAGGCCTCAGAGGATAGGAAAACTTAAAAATACTTTAACTGATGCCATAACCATATGGAAAAAAAAAAAAGGTAATTTCTATTGACACATATACTGAAATCTACCTTTTGTAGAGATTGCACGACATATAAAGGGTGTATGAATGAATCCACATACTCTTAGACTCTATTGTCTGATTAAAGAACACAACATGTCCCTGTTTCTTGGATTTGGTTTGAGTGCTTTCTCTGTGCCTTTACATATAAAAAACAGTTCTAGAGAGGGAATGGCTGAATAGCTCTTAATAAACTAAAAACCAGGAACTGTCACACTCCGATATATCAGTAAGTGCTGCCATTGATTAAACAAGACTATATTTCTTCTCCTAAATTTGAGAAGTACGCAAAAATCCAAGGTACAAATGGCCAGCTTTCATGCTGTTAATGCTGTGTGGCTTGCACCCAGGCTCTGTGGGCAATGGGTATCAACAGAATACTATAAAATACGCAAAATGAGCAATCTCAATTTAAAGTGAACAAAAAGAAGAATACATTTTTATAAGAACCTTACATACAAACCTGTAAGATGAAGTGTCTTCACGATCTAGGACTCTATTAGTTGCTAAAATCCCTCGTGCCGAATCAATTAGAAATGCTGCATTTTCATTACCAGATAAAATTGAGTATTCAGTTTCTCCATTCAGCCCACTGTCAAGGTCAGTCACAAATACCTGTTTGGGAGCAAAACTGAGGCTTAATTCAAAATGGCAGTATGTGATTTCAGAAAGAAAAACCTTATAATACAGTCATCTATTTCTGGTTACTTTCCCTTCAACTGCACAGATTTAAGCTAATAATCACACTGGTCCCCAGCATGAGTGCCATGTGAGGTCACAGAATCTGTTCATGAATTGCAATAGGATGCAAATTAATTATTTCCTTGAGTACTTTGAAATTCAGCTACATAAAGCACCTGGGCTGAATTTAATTGTTTTACCCTGCTTATATTACTATAAGGTTGCTGTTAGAATGCTGTCTCTGTTTTGTGCACAAAAATGCACTTTCTCAGGGGTCTGGGACTGACCCTTAAAGTATTTACTGCTATACAAACAGACAAAGGATAAAATAATTAAATTATTAAGTTTTAAGAGCTTTCATGGAATAGTTCATTAGTTACTTCTTTAAAATACAAAGAAGAAAATGGAAAAAAGGGCAGAGGCAAACAACAGAATAACATCCAACAGCAGTGAGCAGGTTTCTCAGAGACTCCTCTGACTCTTTGGAGAGTTGTCTTTGTATTTTTCTGGTTGCTGAACAAGCATTATGAGTACAGGTTCCAAACCATAGCAGAGGAAACCAGTCAGATTGAATAAAGGAAACATGATAGAATGTATACCATCATAAAATTTT